TGTTTAGTAACACAGTCAGTATGTCATTGTAGTGTTGGTTGCATGACATGCACAATTTAGTAAGAGATGGTCAATGCTAGCTATTGAAATTGCTTTGGGTTGATTTTTCGAAAGTCTTTGTGATTGTGTTAAAGGTAATGCAAAGTTTTGGGAAATTTTGAAAATTGGATCGATAGGAATTCTTTGAAATGATGATATATTTGGATGCCCATGTGGATGTAATATAAGCACTGAAAATTTAGCTCCTAAACCACTTCTGCTTTCAAGAAATTGACTAATCTAAACTTTGCCGGTGCTCCCGGTAAATTTCAAATATTTTAAATAGCGCCGAAGGCCATTCCATGGTAGCTGCGACCATAAAAATCTCAGAAAATGCAGTTTAGATATAATTCCCAAACGGGAATAGCAAATCGGTCGATTGTAATACAAAAAAAAAAACATTGTTTGAAAGCTAAAGTAATATCACTCTTGAGAGGGCGCTATAAAACATAAAGAGTTTATTATTTACAATTTCATCACTTTACACTCGATTTCAACCGCTGCAATTATCAAATTGTAAAATCGCATATGCTTCTAATGTTCATTTGAACAAAATTCATTACCCCGTACCAAAACTTTGTGATACCTTTTATTAAGTATATAAATGATGCCTGCAATTAGTTTTACTGATCCATCGGTGGGGTGGACTGAGACGATACAGGTGTGTATGTACCGCACGAAACCGTTAGGTTGAGTACGGTGGATGCACACAGCCTCACCGAGAGCCGATAGCCGTAAATGAAGTAAGGCACAAGTCATGTGTGAATTAAGTGGGTGAATGTTAGGCTCATTTCTCGGGGAGTCGGGATTACTTTCTTTTCCCCGCTTGTGGTGGAAAGGAAAGGAGGTGGGGGGGGGGGGGAAGGGGTGGTTGACCTTCGTTAACCTCATATCACAATATCAAGGATGACAAGGAAGAAGAAAAAGATGTAAAAATCATACAAAAGGATCATTGAAAGGCCACTTCTCGATCTTATCAACATGGCTGCATGAAATTAAAAGTTGGCGCGCAAATCCAATATTTCAACACATCCATTGTACACGTGTCATATACACATATCGCTAAGTATCTCGTTATCATTATGAATGGGAAGGATGTTTGATTTGCCACGTGCGCTTCCGTGCCTCGGAAATAGGAGATAAGAATATATTTTTCTTATAACAATATCCCCGAACGTAGATCCTTCTCGAGGTCAAAGCTATACATGATGAGAATATCAGAGATACAGGGAGGGATTATTCGATAACAAGAATTCCTTTCAATTTTTATAGATCTAATAATCATTCATTGGTGATTGACTGATGATCAATCCGAAGGTCCCGAACGTGATGCATTGCATTGTGGGACATTCCATATAATTTTGATGCGCATGAAATCCGATAACCGATAGGAATCGAATTGAATGTATATATCTCGCTATGTTTTATATAGATGTGCTACATTCGCATCATTTGCATCTGCTCTTTTGCGACATTGTCGAGGACAAAGCGAGTAAAGAAGAGGTTGAGATCGAAGATTTTTATATATTTAATGCAGACGATGATGATGATAACAAGAAATCGGGACGCGCACTGAACATAACAAATAAGTAACTGAAGTTTGTCCAACGATTCGATAAAGAAATAAGGGGGGGGGGGGCGGGCGCTCGAGCGCATCACATTTTTCGATGAAAAGGTTTGACGCCTGTTGATACTTTAAATCACATCACAACATTAAATAAAACAAATAATACATACGTTCCCATATCTCATTAAAATTTGATTTGAACAAAGGTCTATTAAGGCAGAAACGAAAACAATTGTGCAGGAAAGTAAGGAAGTATTGGCTTGTTTTTACACCGCTTTAGAATGTAAGTTTGTTTAAAGAGGTCAAATTTAAGAACAGTCGCTTCCTTAAAACCGGTACGTCATGTAGGTCGATTATATGACTAAAATTTAATCTCCAATTGTGCGTGTATAGTAGGCCTACATGTAACATGTGCACATGATGTGTAAACCTCTGTAACGTTAGACCGGCAACCTATGTATGAGACCGATGGAAACATCAGAAAACTTGTTAGAAAGTCTATACGAAATCAACGTAAATGACATAAAGCCTCGGTCACAAATGCCATTGAGAACTGCTACGAACGCCGTACGAACGATTTTCAGACAATGGAAATTTGGGAAGAAAATGGAAAAACAGAGAGATTCGTACGAAATTAACGTTCGTACGAAGTACGAACCTTTGTGACCGTAGCATAAGATTTATGAAATCCTTTTCAGTCTCTCTGGTCGTCTGTTAATATTATTTGGCCGTATAAATAACACTGTCTCCCCCTCCTTATTTCTGAAAGATTTTGATTATTTGTTTTCGCATCAAAAAGAAATTTACTGTAGCAACACAAAATTATAAATAATATTGCAAACAATAACACCGTCAAAATCAAGTAGACCTAATGAAAATATCATATCAGGTGTCGTGTTATAATGGTTCGTTCCCCTGACTCGCAATCTAAGGGTTGAGGGTACGAATCCCAGCCCGCACCAATGTCCTTCGGCAAGAGATTTCATCCACATTTTTCACTCAAAACCCATATATAAAATGTGTTACTTACAATAATTGTTGAGGTATAGAGGTGTCGTGGTCTATAGTGGAAACTTCACCGGACTGTGGATCATTATATGGTTTGGGCCGATTTTGTTGTTGTTGTCCAGGTTTTAAGGAAAAATTTCGCAACGACTGAGCCAGCCGCAGAATAAGCGGGCGAGGAGAGGGGGGGGGGGGGGGGGGGGCGGTGAGGGAGCACTTTTTTTACCCCGGAAATTGGAAAATTACGTCGTCAGATATTTCGTTCAGTGTGTGTGTGTGTGGGGGGGGGGGGGGGTAGAGGAACACTTTTTGTTGTTGCCTCCTTTAGGACCGCACAAAAACGAGACAAAACTAGACAGAAACAACAGTTTTACATTTCATTATTTAAGCAGAAACACGCTACATATTTTGTTGGTCTTTTGGTGCTTAAAAGGGTAACCATGCAGGAGACTTATAGTAACCGCTTTGATTTGCCGAACGGAATAATCTTGATTTCTCCAGGCGTTACACAATAATAACAGATGAACCCTAACTAATACGAAGGACAACACCACCACACCACCACCACTACTACTACTACTACTACTACTACTACTACTACTATTTAATAGTATTAGTATTACTACTACAACTACTGCCCGGCCTGCTACTATACACGTACTATCATGTTAATTACGGAAATGTCCCGTTTAATACACAGAAGGTTGCGTTTACTCGCTTTGATTTGTCGAACGGAATAACTCGAGAATAATCTTGATTTCTCCAGGCGTTACAAAATAATAACAGATGAACCCTAAATAATACGAAGGAAAACACCACCACAAATATACTATACTACTACTACTACTACTACTACTACTACTATTATATTACTACTACTACTACTACTACTACTACTATTATTATACTACTACTACTACTACTACTACTACTACTACTACTACTACTACTACTACTATTATTATTACTACTACTACTACTACTACAACCACTACCACTTATCCTACTACTACTACCTCCACTACTACTACTACTACTACTACTACTGCTGCCCGGTATTACTGCTACTACACGTAATATCATGTTATTTACGGAAATGCTCACATTTAATACACAGAGGGTTGCGTTTACTCGCATCTCAATGCAGAATTAAACTCAAATTAACTTTCAATCAGTCAGAATTGCATTTGCGTGTAAACACAACTTCAGAATCAGACGCAAATACTTTCAACCAATCAAAATCACCTATGCTTTATGCCGTTGCGTGTACATCAACTCTCAACCAATCAGAATGATGTTTGCAGTTTCGTGTTGATACCGCCCCGAACTCTAACGCACATCAACTCTCAACCAATCGAAATCACTTATGATGTTTCAATTGCGTGTTATCATAGCCCCAAACTTAAACGCATGTCAACTTTCGAGAAAAAAAAAACAGAATCGCATATGTTTTAGTTTGTTTTCTAAGAAAAGAGGGCAAAGCAGTGTTTATGCGGGCTACATACGGTAGGCCTTTCGCTCTCATGATGGGGTCAATATCAGTGGAGTGACGTTAAAGATAAACTCCAGTACTGGTAAAAAAAAAAAATAATTCTCACAGAATCAAACGAAACTTACACTGAATGTTCAAGATTACAAATAAATGACATGTGCCAAACAATTTTGAAAGAAAATGTATACTGGCTGAGTAATGAGCATAGAAAGACAATGAAATCAAGGTAGTACTAGCCCCGACACCATGTGTGTTGTCCCATATATAGCTTTCTATGTGAGTGCTTGTTACTTTACCAAGACTCGGTCAAATTTATTATGATTTTGATGACTCCAGAACCTAGCAGTGCACACCAATACTTACATGCTACATGATCAACTGCTTCTGATCCTTTCCACACCTTTTCTTTCACAATGCAATCGCATTACCAGTACTAAAGTTTATCTTTAATGGTGCCTTGGATAGACATGAGATCCAAACCTCCGACGAAGGAATTGATTTGGGCCACTTCATGGAATTATGTCTTTTCCGGGTCTGCCAAAATATCCTGGTATATATCTACACCACAAACAAGTAAGACATCACATAATCACCCTCACCCTTCTGTTTTAAGTTCTTATTTATTCACCTACACGCCACGGAATTAATCTGGCTTTTTTATGAATGGGAGGGACCTTTAAGCTTTTTTTAAATACAGTGTACTCAATTGTTTAACACCTTAAACATTTCCACTTATCAATGCGATCCGGATTTTATCACGGGGTGTCGGAGTGGTTTTTATTTCCTCTATATTTTCCTAGTTATCACTGGTATTATAGAATTAAGGGTATCACCAGAATCGAGGGACTTTCCTGTTTCCGTTACTTCCTGGCAATATATTTCAAAGTTCGTTGTGAAAATCCCTTAAGATTAGAAGGAGTTGAGTATTGGAGTAGCCTGCAGTGAAACTTGGATCTCGCTCCCATATTCTCACACACAACGCTAAACTCAGGGAAGGAAGGAGGATAGACATATTTTCACTTCAGACTTTTCTACCATTAATCGGTTGTTACAGGAATTACGCCATTCACATGTGAGTTCACCCCGATTTCTTCGCTGAACTAAACTTTATATTAATCTCTTAATTAAGGTGACGTGAAATATTCTGGGATATCACTCTTATTACACGTTCATGATAAACGGCGACCACGGGTTTTGTTGGTAAGTTGATCCTGTTCATAGTCGTTCATTTACCACCTCGACGTATACATCTTTCCGTGTTTAAAGTCATGTTTTGGTACAAGTTGTAAAGCTCGGAGGGAGTATAACCACAAGTTCATGTACATCGCAGATGATTCGATTTTCTAAAACTTAAATCTAGCAAGCAGAATGGTCTTTTTAGACGAAACTGATTTATTCGAGACTCGTCTCGCATTTGCGTTACCGATGTTTTGGTCTTGGTTTCGACCCGACACAGCTAATGAGACCATGCAGCGTCGATCTCGTTGGACTTCTCGCAACTTTGTGAGAGTTCACGAGACCGATGAACCGCATGTCAGTCTCACCGGCTTTCTTACACTGTTGTGAGCGTTCACGAGACCAACGTTGACGGCCTACGTGGATATCCTCTTCCAATCCGAGATCAATAAATTGCAAAATACAATTATCTCGATTTGTCGCCATGCATGATCCACGATCTGGGCCCCCGGGCTTGCCCCCGGGCTTGGCCCTCGATACTTCGAGTACATTATTCAGTAAAAAATGTTCTTGTTAATAAACTTAACATGGTTTGAACTTTGAAGATGCATCCATGCAAGGCTTCATTGACGGTCTTCCTTATTAACTAGATGATCTAAAAAAGAAATATTTTGTTTAAAAATCCATTTTATTGTTAATTTGTTACACTCGAATATGGGCGTAGAAATACTTGGTCATACTTTAGGTTGTATGATGCATCTTACCCGGATTCGTGACATCACTTGTCACCGAGGTAACCAAGTTTTACGGATCATTATCAACATTGTACTCTTCTTTGAAATATTATATCACACTTGTAATAAATGAACATGCTGAAAGAAAACTAGCAAAATGTCAGTATACTCTCTGATACAGCGAGGTTGATCGAGAGAAAAGGCATGTAATTGATTCTATAGCTTCTGGAAATGTTTCATATTGCAATCAGGAAACGCTTAAGTGGATGATTTGTCCTTATCCCATCGATAATTAGCAAACAGTTTGTCAAACGTTTCAAGTCGCCAGGGAAAGAGGGCCTGGTTTCTAATCCCAGCTCCGATTTCTTAAGACCTGATATCTATACCCGTATCGCTTTCAATATGAACGCAATAACTCTCGGTCAGCTTAATCGAAGCTGAGAGAAATCTGGCATTTCCTGAGGCCTAGGGGTGTCTTTATAATAGTTGCGAAGTGGAATGACTATAACTTATACTGATTTGAAGTATTTGATTTTTGTTTTTACTTTATAGTTTCCATTAAGAGCCACGCGAATCGGGTTTTATTTGAATTACATTTAGCAGTCATATGATTCGATTTCCGTCGCTGCATGCTTCAGTAGAACAATATTTTCTCACAACGTATGGACAGCGAAATGTAATCTCAGTTTGCTGTCCATACTTGTAATACATGTATGTGTTGTATCCATTGCTGCTCTCTGTCAGTACGCGATACATATTTTTTACGTCATCCTGTTTCGCTGTCCATTAGGACTGTCCATGTGGCGTGATACCCTGTCCGTCTTTTTCAGCATCCTTAGATTTCTCGGTCGTATGGACAGCGAAATATTATTGAGTATGTTTAGGAAATAGTACAAGTAAAGGAATATCGCCTGTTCAAACTATCAAAACTGTGATGAAATAAATGAAACAAATTACACACGCCGAATTTCGAAATACTGAAACATCTTACTTTCATGAATGCATTTAATCCTTACTGTTTTGAGTTCTAATCATAAGGATTACAATTGACAATAATGCTTTCTGCGGAACAAGTAATTTATCTCGTGAAAGTCTTTTTTTCCTGGTGATATTCTCACCAAGTTATTATTGATTTAAATTATTTTGGTGTTCTTCCTGCATGTAGGCAAACATTCTTTTTCTAACCAGACTCAATGACGCGAATGACTAATGCATTTTTCAGATAGTGCTAAAAAAATTGATCGAAACAGCATAATCATGAACAATTACAAACACACTGTTAATAGCGGGGAACTTTTCCCGTAGTCAGTAGTTACTCCTTGGCATTTCTGTATAACGCAAGGTTGTACACAGAACGTGAAGGTGATTACCTGGAATCAATTCAATGCTGAAATTAGCGCGAGTTTGAGCAAATTAAAGGTGAGGACCAATCATCAGAGTTTGTACAGAGAAAATGTGAAGAAGAAAAAAAGCAGATCGGAAACCAAATGTACGGTATTAAAAGATATCCGGACGAGCATGTTCGGGCTATCACCCGGACAACTACGACTTCATGGATAACAACCCCGGACAAACTGTAGTAAACCTGGGAAACTACCATTACGCCAATAATCTTTCAGACGTTACTACATAGGACTTAAAGCCCCTCTGTACTAAAGCTATTTGCGCCCTCTATAGCAAACAGTGCCTAATCGATGTCTGTTGGTCCCCCATGATCCTCTTCTTCTGTTAATTGAGAGCTGATTTGATGAGTAAACCACCTGTCAGTGACCTTGGGGGGGGGGGGGGAGGTCTAATCTCCCCGGCCAAACTAGTACAGACGGGCTTTAAACTAAAGTGTTGTGGTTGTGGTTTTGATTGTGGTTGTCTTTGAGGTTATACCGTCTTGTGGATTATTGTCCTAGGCGTGTAGTTATCGGAAGTATTTTCAGCGGATTCTAGTAGTTGCCATGATGTTATAGTAACTTGCAGTAATTCATAAAATTATATGTGAAAGAAACGAATCAAAGCGCTTGTTATGATATACAAAACAACAAGAAAAAATGAAATATAAAGATATTTTAAAATGTGGGTACATGCATAGAACCCCTATATAGACGTAAACATTTTGGCACAGTTTATTGCGTTGATTGAATCGCATTTCACGCATGTCAGCATCGATCGTCACATGTAAGTTTGCCAAGCCAAAATATAAACACACGTGGAAAAGTGATAACTATATATAGCATTTAAGGCAGGCCTCCATGTATTATAACCTAGGTGATTGTGCTAAATATTATGGTAAATTGATTGTGCCAAATATTAGCCAGACATGGAATCGTCCCCCTCCCGTTTGATTTACATGCCAAGACAGTGGAAACACGAAAAAGTGATCAAATAGGCAACGTAATATATTTTAAAGTTCAAATTACATACTAATTTGTTGGTTTTGTTTATTATGATATAGCAAAGACATTTATGAAATAAATTCAAGGGCAATGTTGATACTCTATCGCACATCCCATCGGTATCGTTTTCGGATTACGTTATCTTTTTACGTTCGCATGTTTCGATACGTAATGAACAGTGTTATAGACTAAAATTACATGATTGATCCTGACGATTCCTGGGCCCCCGTCTTATAAAGGGTTACGATTAATCGCAACTTATTTTCGATTGTTTCGGATCAATCGCAACTCTTTATAAGATGGGGCCCTCATGTAGCACAATATGAAACGACAAACAAACTGTTCTCTTCCCAAGATCTCATTAGGCCAAAAAACATGTTTTAGCGTCCTGTTTTTTTTCTCGAAAAATAGGAAGGAGGAGGCGCTTTTTTTTCTTTTTTTCTTCTTTCAAAATGGCCGCTCAAAATGGCCGCCCGGCACATTTTCCCTGACAGTCGGGCTATTTTTTTCAAGATGGCCGCCAACATTTTTTTTTTTTTTTTTTTTAAAATCAGAAATAGATCCACTTTAGCAGTGTTTTTCATGATTTTTTTCTTTAAAAAAAAAAAAGGAGGTGGCCCCCAAAAAGGAAGCGGGCGGGGACGCTAAACATGTATATATTTTTACATGGCCTTATACAAGGTGTCCAATGAACTTGATGCCGCCACACAGATTGAAAGCCATTTTAAGGAAATTATATTTACGGATACTGTGCATTGTGCATCGCCTATTATTAGGAATCATAATTGTGACAATTATTTTTTTTAAATTGCGACCGCATAGGACAAAATTTAGGAAGTGACAAGTGTTAATAATGATCATGTGAGATTCATGAAAACACATTGACACGAAGGTGACCCAGTTATCATGATTGTTTGGCAAACAAGGATTACATTCCCAACTTTTTTCTCAAGGTTGAGAAAATACAAGTATACTTTCGATTTGTTTGATGGTCTAATTTCTAGTTTGATTAGGAATCTAGCCCATTTCTCTTTTGAATGCGTAGAATACCAAAAAAGACTGTCGAAAATCAATCTTAGACAAGTTTTATATCCTTGTCCCGGTACTTTCTTACTTGAAGAAGTATAAAACAACAGTTCAGAAATACAGAAAAAACGGTACTTTGTTTCTTGAAGAAGTATAAAACAACAATTCAGAAATACAGAAAAAAACGGTACTTTGTTACGTGAAGAAGTATAAAGCAACAATTCAGAAATACAGAAAAACGGTACTTTCTAACTTGAAGAAGTATAAAACAACAATTCAGAAATACAGAAAAAACGGTACTTTGTTTCTTGAAAATGTATAAAACAACAATTCTGAAATACAGAAAAAATGTATTTTTTAATCTTTTGCTGACGATGTTTCTTGTTTATCATTTCAGATGCTGCGTTCTACTCTTGGATCGTTAATTACTTCACCAACCTGATCCACGTTTACCAATCCTCTTAATCCCTGGATTAGCACACGGGATTATCCACGGGAAACACTTATTTGCACTTATTAGCGGGTAGTTTAACCCCCTTCAAACTATTTGACTTCAAACATTCCAAACACGAACCAACCCGATCCTCTTTACTCGATTATTTCAAAGGGTATTCGATAATATCCGCATTTTGTGTGAACGTGATCGGAGCGTCAAGTGTTAACACAGATGACTTACGGAAAGAGGAGGTAGCAGAGAATTGAATTGAGACGAAACCGGACCAAGATGGAGCTGCGGCATTGTTGCGTGGCAGTTGCGACTGCCCTTTTATCAGTCATATCTTTGACACTAAGTTTCGGTAAGAAAGAACTCGGAGTATATTGTTTATGTATCATTTCATAATTATACACAACTTTTTTTTATCCTTATAAAGGAGAAAGAATAACAATCGCCATATTTATTTATTTGCGTCTTCCTTTTTATCAGTCATATCTTTGACACTAAGTTTCGGTAAGAACGAACTCGGAGTATATTGCTTATGTATCATTTCATAATTATACAAAAACTTTTTTTTATCCTTATAAAGGAGAAAGAATAACAATCGCCATATTTATTTATTTGCGTCTTCCTTTTTATTAGTCATTATCTTTGACACTAAGTTTCGGTAAGAACGCACCGGAGTACATGTTTATGTATCAGTTTCATAATCATACAAAACCTTTTTTATTATTATTAAGAAGAAAAAATAACAAATACGAGAAAATGGGCCTGTTGTTAGTTAATCCAGGGAGATGCTGTCACCTTCCTGGTTAATCACTAATTAACAGACATTATTTTGACAAATTTTGAAAGTTAGAAGGCCTGTGAATAATAAAATTAGTAGTGAGCTGCGTGAGCTTTTTTCTTCGCCTAAAGTACTTTATCATTTGCTAAAACTTTTTTTAATGGTTACCTATAGAACAATCCATAACTTATTCAATGCCACGTGCGGACAGGTTGTCTACACTAAACCGATCACGCTCTGATGTATATTTGACCACTACCTCTCGTATGAGAATTTATAATGCAATTTCTGCATAACACCATCACTTATGTGAATTATATTTCACAGACGTTTTCACTGAACATGCATGCGTTTTACGATGTGATGAACGTATGAAATCGACGCGATCGCTTTTATTTCCGACTATTTAAGAAACATGGCCAGCAGGTGAAATTGATCTTTCCATAGGCCTCCATCCATCCATCAATAGGGACTTTTAGATTTGCGTGGACTGAAACGTGAGACGTCCATTGAAGGCAGTGCATTACAAGGACGTCGATCGTAGCGTAGACCTATTGTCTTCGTGCGAATCTAAAAGTCCCTATTAAGCGAGTCATTCAATCATTAGTCAAACCAGTCTTGAAAAAAAATTGCGAATGATATCAGTCACAACTATGTACATGTGCATAAGAGATACGAGACTGTTACTTGCGATTGATTTGGATCAATCGCAGATTTTTATGAGACGGTGCCCATATCTGTCTAAACATCTATTCAGAAGACTAGGTTCCGTGACGGATCGCTTTGGCAAAGACGACTGGAGAATTACGGCGATACAGCTCTTCCGTCGTGTTTAGGGAACGAACGCTATTATGGTCGCGTACGGTCGTGAAAATCAACAAGACGAAGAAAATTCGGGTTCGCGCATGCGCAGATTGTTTTTCGCTCGCGTTACCGTCGTCCTTGCCTTCCGTCGTGTTTGCGAAAACGCCCACTAAGTAACACACGACACATGCCCCACGACACAATGTGACACACTACAAATGAACTCCTTTGAGATGTTTCAGTTCACTTAAACAAAACCTATGAGGGCGAAATATAGTTCACCGGAAATGTTTCAATGGATTTGTTCCTTCTTATTATCTCCCGTGTCATTTGTCATATATCAATTTATTTATTTATCAATTTCTCTATATATATCTTTTGATTTGCAAGCAATTGCATTTAAATTTAATAAATGAAGGATTGAATCTTTTAACGTGATGCTATATCCTGATCAGTGACCCGCTATGAAGTGCATGTTTCATGTATTGCACTTTTTCCAGTCCCAACAAGGAACTGAATTACATTGATATCATTACGACCGTTTATTTATTTATTTTTGTTTACAATTTGCTAGACGGCCTCGAATATAGTAAAAGCTATGAAACGAAATACCACTTAATTGGAAACCGCAAAGAATTTTAACTTTGCAACCCGGATATTGCCCCTTCTGTCGGTTGTAATAAATCAGCGATTGTGTTTATTTAACAAATTGTAGCGTGCTAATTTTGTTAATTGATCTTCATATCCCCGAAGATTGTATATAGAAAAGAATAATGTTTACCATTTGGATCTACTGTTACTGGCATGACGCATGGTACGGGGGGGGGGGGGGGGTCCCTTGAACGAGCGCAGCCTGACGGAAGAGTGCGTCAGCAACTTACGCGGTCCTTGACGCGCGCTGTGAAAGTACCACGATCGCAAAGACTTTTGAAAACCAACCTTACATCTTACTTACATCACAAGACCGACAGCAAACTGAAGGGAAAAAAAAGAAAGAAAGAAAGGAGGCGACGACAAGAACGAAGTCGAAGATATCAACATTACGCGGAGAGAGAAATATGTTAAGATGTTACATGTATTCCATCTAGGTAATCGAAGATTTTCTATATTTCATTAATCCTCAATTTTACCAGGTAAGCTGATTGCTGTCGAAAATGCCCGCCCCCCCCCCCCCCCACTCAGTGTTATTTAGGGTACGCATATGCTCGTACCCTCTTTTTGAAAGCACCCCCTATCTGAGGACTGCCAACATTTCCGAACCCCCTTTCGCGGGCTTTTTGCGGGCTTTTCCTGCCTTGGAGACCCCCCTAAATCAGGAAAAATGCTCAATGTACCCCCTAAATTCGGAATAATTTCTCAGGATTCCAAAGAGATGAGAGAAAAAAAGAAAAACACCCCCTTTTTAAAGAAATCTCCGGGTGAAAAGTCAAATACACCCCTTTTTTTACAAATCTCGGGCCGGACTTTGTCGCACGAAAAGTACCCCTTTACCGGACATTTTGGCAACACGCATGCGGTCATTCCGACCTCTGAGTGGGGGGGGGGGGGGGGGGGGGGGGGGGGGCCGGGCGAAAATGTCAGTTTGATTGAACGCATTTATATATCCTGGGGATATATACAGACGAATAAGTGATGAGCTAATTATTGGAAATGTCAACATACATCAGTTTCTATTTTTGTACCAACTATTAATTTTGTACATCAGTTGGTCTTCTTTTTAAAGTAGGCTTACCGATCTTATAAATTACCAAAACTTACAAGAGCAAGATGCGGCAAATAACACGAAATGGAAAGAAAGAGATATTATCCCGGCAGTGTTTGTTAGTTAGAGATCGATCATTAATAACCCAGTTTGGATTTTGTAATAAAACAATTTGTAGAAACAATTCAATCTGCTTTTTTTTAAATGTGTGGTGATTCTTTATATGTTGTGCTTTCTGCCTAACACTTACACAGAATACTCCGCATCATGTATAACATGCATGAACAATGATTGTGAAATGAAAGATATAGCATGATAAAATAGCACAGGCGGTCTTTTAAAAGTTGTTGTTAAACATAATAGATAAGATTTGCACCAGGGAATGAATTCAATTGCTGAAAACCAGACCGGAAGTCAGCGCGGCAAAGAGAGTGTCGGTATGAAAGGTCAGGACCATTTCCGGTGTCACGAGACGACCTCATTTCCCGCGCTTTTGCTGCAGGTCACGTGTGCTGATGATGGCCATGATATGTTTTATTTCAGTGTTATCGACCTGTCTTGTTTTGTAAAGGAAAGCGATATACATGTGTATAGTTACACTATATTTTAGTTGTAATGGCGTAGGCCTGCCCAGGTCAGGAAATCGACACGCCGATCTAAGTGCGCTGTCGTGGCGCCAAGAAATATACAAAGCGCGCGCAAATCTTCTTTATTGCCGATCAACATGGTATTTGGTTGACGAATTATTTGGATAACAAATTCCCCCTCCCCCCTGAGTTTTCTTATGAGAAAAAAGACGCCGCAGCAATGTGAAGAATAAAAAACAAAAAACTTTGAATTGTACTGTACATGACTCTGCAGGATCAGATCGATCGAAGTTTGTCTCATTCTTTAATCATCGGCGCGAGCTAGGGAATATCATTCCGGACGCGTTCAACTAATTATTACATAGTTCTTTTCGCGTGAAAAAGAATACAATATACGTGAATAAAGAGCGTTTAAGACACTGCAGCAATGCCGAGAATTTTTTTAAAATTTTGCATGAAATTTAGAAGTGAAAAATCAGATCGGAATTTTTTTAATGAACTTTAATCTTTTTAATTTTTTTTTTTTTTTACAAGTTTTTTTAAATTTCCATCATTCACAGGGGTTACATATAAATATTTGATAAAATTTCAACAAAGATTGATAATTACGAATAATAATTAAAAGCTACATAACATTATGACTCATTTGAAAAATTCAACATCATTATTATAGTGTATTTAAAGATGTCATTTCAAATTGTCATATTGAATATACATAAGAAAATAAACACCTTGAGCATCTATTACGGTGACACGACATTTGCTCCTGCGACAATCGCTCCGGGCTTTATTTCGTCTAAGATGTAGGGTTAGGGTTAGGGTTTCAATAGGGTTTTATGTTAGGTTTAGGGTTAGATTTAGGGTAGGGTATAGTGTTGAATCCAGGGTTGAAGTTAGCCATTCGATTAGTGTATGAAATTTACAGCGGAGCAATTGTCGCCGGAGCAAATGTCATGGAATCTCTATTACCCGTGAATTGGAACCTATGTAATAGACAGACAAAAACAAACAAACACATAAGCATACACTTAATCTTTAACAAAAAACATTAGAGAGAAAGAGAAAAGTACAAAAACAAACAAAACAAAAGGAAAGTAAGAGCTTTGTGGCGCCCAATAAACATGCTATGACGCTCGTGACATTCTCATTTTCCTTCCGTCTTCCTAATTAAAAACAAAGCTTAAAACGACTAGATTTTATGTTTTGTACCAAAATAGTAATATCATCAGCATATAGTATTTGTTTGACATTTTTAGCACCAAATTCAATACCGTTTACTGCTCTGTCTTTACGAATATAATGGGCTAAAGTTTCATTAAAAAAAACTATTGAACATGTCTTTTAATCTGCATACTGAGTTTACGTCTTGTACAAAAATAGTAATATCATCAGCGTAGTATGTGTATGACACTTTTAGTACCAAATTCCATACCGTCTACTGCTATATATTTACGAATATAATGGGCGAAAGTTGCAATGCACAAAAGGAATATACATTACCATAGTAGGTCACCTTGTCTTATTCCTTTTTCAATTTTAAAATAACTGGTTGACATATTCTCATTTAAAACTCAGCTCTGAGCATTAATATATAAAATGTTTAACCATTTACAAAATATTGGTCCAAATCCAAAAGACTTTAAAACTTTATCCAAGAAATAATGAGAAACCGAGTCGAAAGCTTTTTCGAAAATCGATGGCTATAGAAGATAACCTGAACTACTGAACGGCGCAAGGGACTATCGTTTTTGGCGTCGATCTGGGGGGGGGGGGGGGGGGGGGGGGGGGGTTCACAAAACTTGTCATCAGTGACAAATGACAGTTTTTGTTATAAGCTACTGAAATCCTTGCGTCTGATTGGTTATCAGCAGATTTGTCGCTGATTTTGTCATTTGTCATTGAAAAAAGGCTTTGTGAAACACCCCCTGGCGGTTGTATCGAGATCGGATGGGTCGGCTATGATTACATTTGCTCATTTATTTGTATTATTTCATCATTTCCTTCTCATGTGCTCATGGCTACATCTGAAACCAAAGTATTTCCTTGAAAGCTATTATATTCCAGTCATAAGTATATGAAGAGATATCATCCGGGATTTCAATATGTTTGTGATGAAAATATTTACTCGTTCATCCCTGTAATTCGATCATCTTGTTAATTTTATTTTGAATGTCGTTTTTAATAATGTGAATCCATTATCTACATAAATCAACCGAAACATTACATGTTACAAAGAAACTAAAACATAGATCGAAACAAATCGTGTACAATCTCCAAACTCGTTACTTCTGCCAAAGGCATTGCTTATTAGGGAGGGGGTGAATGTGACGCCCCATTTCAATTTGTTTTGTGGACCATCTCCCCCCCCCCCCCCTGCAACAAATTTAATTTTCCTAATATGTTTCGATAGGTGGAGGGTGGAGAGCATCCTTTTCATAAATAAATAAATGTGCCTCGGAATAGAATTATCTAGATAGATGACGCTATAGAAAATCCCTATTATTATTATTATTATTATAATTATTATATTATGTAAAACTTCTTTCGGAAAGTGGGAAACATGACAATCTGATTTTTGGGTGTTGCCGATGGGGATAAATAAATTAGCAAATATTGTCGGAAACATGTTCAATGACCCCAGCATACAATGTCTAGAGAAACATCTGTATGTAGGCTTATGAGAGCCGAGCGAGTTAATGGCATATAAAAGAAGGAAATATGAACATATCGTGGCTTTCTAGCGGGAGACAGATTTTGCATTTCCAGTGACGGAGAGAAAATATATCGAACGCACCCATCACTCAGCTTATAGAATTATGCAAATGAAAAGAAATGTAATTTGCTCCAGCCTGGATATCGCTTTTAATTTGGGAAATTGAAATTGGGATTAGGAAATTTTCTGCATCTCTTTTTTTTCTTCTTCTTTTGCCTTGGATTTTAAAAATGCATCCATCATTTTTGGCAGAAGATTAATTTATGTATTGATATGATTTAAGTCTTTATTATGTCCGTCCAAAGTTACAGGGGAGTAGCTAGAACACTTGGATGAAAGGGGGGGGGGGGGGGAGGAGGGGTAATCGAATCAAATCTGCTGATTTTGCCTAATATTTTCCTGCAAGCAACAAAAACAACAACAAGAGCCTCAATATAATTTTTTTTTTTTTAAATTAATTCTCACAGAATCAAACAAAAATTACACTGAATGTTCAAGATTACAAATAAATGTTATTTGCCGAACAATTTTGGAGAAAATGTGTACTGGCTGAGTAATGAGCATAGAAAGATTAGGAAATCAAGATTAGTAGCCCCTACACCATTTGTGTAGTCCCATACACATCTTTCTGTGTATAGTGCTTGTTACTTTACCAAGACTGCGCCAAATTTATTATGATTTGATGACTCCAGAACCTTGCAGTACACATCAATACTTACATGCTACATGATCAACCTTTTCTGATCCATTCCACACCTTTTCTTTCACAATGCAATCGGATGACCAGAACTCAACTTTATCTTTAACAAATATGACAGGCAGGTTGATGAGATGGTTTTAATGATTCCTTTCCACAGAGAATGGAGACCTGAGGTTACAAGATGGTCACAACGCAGCAGAGGGAAGGGTAGAGGTGTTTCATGAAGGAACATGGGGTACCATCTGTGATGATGGTTTCGATATAACTGATGCAAACGTCATATGCAGGTGAGTTGATTTTACCTCTTAAAGGGATCCGGTAACTTTGTCTTAGATCCTTTAGAAATAATCCTTGATTTAGCTCATGCTGCAATGAAAATTATAAACCTTTAGGTCAGTCAGGAACTCCATGACTTTTACAAGCCGATCGCCTGTCTGATTATCAAGATATTAATGATTGGAATTACAAATTTGAAAACCGTTCGCCGAACCGTTTTCATAACACTTCAGTCTATTGGGGAAAACAAATATGGTAAAACTGGTCACGCAAAGATTTTTACTTTTTTGAGGCACTTTCTTGATCATTTTGAAGCGCGGTTTTTTTAGGGCTTCAATATTACACCATATCACAATAATCACAGACACTGGTAACATGTAGGACCGTGTATCTCAGATTTAACATTGTTAAACGATCCCTTTAAAAGCCCCACTGTACTACTTATAGCTACTTGTGCCCTCTATATAGCAAACAATGCCTAAATGGTGCCCCTTGGTCCCCCATGATCCTCTTTTTCTTATGTTACTTGAGAGCTGATTTGATGAGATAACCACCTGTCAATGACTTTGTGCAGACAAGCTTTAAGAGTTATATATTTTGGAAGTGTTTTTTTTTCTTCCAAAATCAGATAAAAATATTATGGTATACAAAATGAAATATTAATACATGTACATAGATAACAATCGAAGGAAAGCCCAATTCAGCAATGTTTATAGAACATTATTCTTCTTCCTTGGGGTCCTTACACTATATTATTTACATACAAGTGTACATAATGCAGAATAGAAACAAAACATGAATATAAGTTTTTTAGAATACAAAAATACCAAAATAGAATAAGAAATAACACAGCAGTTGGGTCGTGTGTTGAGAAGGGAAGATGGCGATTGAAGCGAAGATGATGAAAAGAGCGTGGGATCTGGGAAATAGAATGCAGAAAGGTTGGTATAAATGAGGAGGGGACAAGAAGAAATGGAGGGAGGGGTTGCCGTCATGGTGCTAAAGTCAATAAACCTTTCATAAGAGGGAACATGCTGATATGATGATGATGATTATGATGATACATGGACTTGTATGGATATATGACAATGATATGAGCAATAAAGCTGATATGAGCAATAAAGCTGATAATGAGCATAGTCAATAAGATAGTGATATGATGGAAAATTTATTGCTATAGTTCACTTTCTCTTTTGCAAATGCCATAAACTGTATTCCAAAGTTCAGAAAAGCAACATGCATATTCCTGCAAAGGAAGATAAAAAAAGGAAGAGCATTCGGGCAAAGGAAGCCGTCAGGAAGGAAATATGTACCCAAAGAATGTCTGACCCAGATTCTAAATCAAACTCTGTAACACTTTGAAATGAATGATGCTGAGAAAATGTGAAGTGATTGAATCATGAAAGTGCTAGTCCTATAGCTGTTTTTAGAGCAATTAAAGATGTACATGTGCAGTATATGCCCAATTTTAATTCTTAATTCAGTCCTTTTTGCAAGAGGCCAATCCATTTTATAGGGTCTTTGTCCACGTAATATGGTTAGGATATACACATGTTGTTTTATTCCCCAATCATTGTACATGTATTTTCTATGATTATCCACAAGATAAGTGCAAACTAAATGCAGTGAAGTCTGTGTAGAAGTGTAGAATTGTAGAAAGGCCACACTAGGCCTTTATACACAGGGTTTGAATGGGAATGCTTCATTTGAAGGGGAACAAAAATGCGGTCTTTATAGACAGGTGGTCTTTCTATACAGATGGTGCTTGGAAGCAGATTAGACTGTAGTTCAATATCAACCCTCAGAAAGCTCTTTATAGTAGCCAAGATCTTGCATTCCTGGTGATTCCTTTTTGAGGACTTGCGACTTTTTTGAAGTAATCATAATTGTGATCGTTGAATCATAAATACTTGATCACCATCCCTATGTTTAAATCTACTTTAGATCATAGGGTTATTGAACTTGCAGATGCTGAATAATTATCTCAATTAATAGTTTTAAATTAAATTATTTATTTGTTCCATAGTTGAATTCAGACATCTTAAATATGTTACAGCAAAGTGACCATTGAATCTTTGTTAGATTTCAGTTTCCTTTACATCTCTACATCTACATCTATAGATTATAGAAACAGTAAAGTTTGAAATTGTCGTAACAAGAAACTTTGTGAATCATTATGGCCCGCCATTTTAACTGCGAGAAACTCTCATGGATGGCAGAAATTTAGCATTGTGTCAATTGTGATTTAATTGTTCTATGTCATGGGCCCTGTTGCATAAAACTTATCATTGATGGTAACTTTGTCATCAATGGCAACTAACATGGTAGCAGGGCTCAACAGCCAATCAAAATCAAGGTTTCCATGGTATTGACCATTAATGGCAAACTTACCATCAGTGGTAAGTCTTGGGGAAATTTATGAACGTTATATTTTACGTCATGTTTCGCATCTTTGCTACATGTTACTCTTGTCATTTTTATTGAATTATATAACTTTTGTTTATTAGCCAGAAGGGAGTTAACCAATATGCTTTAACACAGAGTGAACGCTGTTCTGGCTCTAACAGGGGACATACAATGCTGTATTTTATGCGTTCAATAGGGAAAATTTAAAGAAAATGTGTACATTCATCATTGAAAAGGAATTAAATCATATATCTAAATGTACCTGTATTATGGATTGTAGCAACAGTTTATTTAGCATCTATATTGTACATTTATACTAAGATCTGTTTGATATTTGTATACATATATATTTATTTATTCATATAACAAAATATATTTTTATTCAATTTTTGTAGCAACATAACTTTTATCTCATTTTCTATCATTACAATCAGACAACTGGGATATTCATCAGCAAACGCGTCTCATTGTTGTGCCCATTTCACACACGGAACAGGGGACATTCACATTGATGATCTAGCATGCTCGGGATTGGAGAGCAGGATTAGTGAGTGTCCGAACAGGGGCTGGGGAGAGCATAACTGCGCGCACACAGAGGACGCCAGTGTTACGTGCAATGGTAAGACGTGTGTTCATATTGTGGTTATAAGGGGAGATTCACATTGATGATCTAGCATGCTCGGGATTGGAGAGCAGGATTAGTGAGTGTCCGAACAGAGGCTGGGGAGAGCATAACTGCGCGCACAGAGGACGCCAGTGTTACGTGCAATGGTAAGACGTGTGTTCATATTGTGGTTTTAAGGGAAGATTCACATCGATGATCTAGCATGCTCGGGATTGGAGAGCAGGATTAGTGAGTGTCCGAACAGGGGCTGGGGAGAGCATAACTGCGTGCACACAGAGGACGCCAGTGTTACGTGCAATGGTAAGACGTGTGTTCATATTGTGGTTTTAAGGGAAGATTCACATTGATGATCTAGCATGCTCGGGATTGGAGAGCAGGATTAGTGAGGGTCCGAACAGAGGCTGGGGAGAGCATAACTGCGCGCACACAGAGGACGCCAGTGTTACGTGCAATGGTAAGACGTGTGTTCATACTGTGATTATTATAAGGTCCTTCAACAGATCCTTGGCCCTGCCTTATAATACACGTCATACTCGACCCAGGTGAGGTAAGTGGGTACCTGGCAGGAATCAAAAATTAATTCCTTGAAATGCTGGAGCGCTGTAATGGCAGCTAGGCTAAAGCCGGGGTAATAATAAATGGGCCTCGGAACATAATTTCTAGATAGACTGCGCTGTTGAAATGCCTATTATTATTATTATTATACATTCTCTCTGCAACTTTTCAGGACTACAACTCAAACTGTTTCTTCTCCTACAGGTAACATTCGCTTACAGGGTAGCGACAGTACTGTTCAGGGCCGGGTGGAGGTCTTCAGCAACTCCAACTGGGGCAGCGTATGCAGCACGGGCTGGGACCTGATCGACGGAGACCTGGTCTGCAAACAGCTGGGCTTCCCCGGAGCGAATGCAACGACAACCACGGCAACGTTCACTCCAGGGACTGGACCAGTGCTAATCAGCGAGGTGGGGTGTACGCCCGAGGATAAAGTGTTCAAGAACTGCACCATGAATAAGACGCCTGGCCCTGAGTGTGCCAATCATACCAATGATGCCACTTTAGTTTGTAAAAGTAAGTTGTCATATATTGTCATTGGCTCTTATGCTTATCATACTAATGATGCCACTGTAGTTTGTAAAAGTAAGTTGTCATATATTGTCATTGGCTCTTATGCTTATCATACCAATGATGCCACTTTAGTTTGTAAAAGTAAGTTTTCATATATTGTCATTGGCTCTTATGCTTATCATACTAATGATGCCACTGTAGTTTGTAAAAGTAAGTTGGCATATATTGTCATTGGCTCTTATGCTTATCATACTAATGATGCCACTGTAGTTTGTAAAAGTAAGTTGGCATATATTGTCATTGGCTCTTATGCTTATCATACTAATGATGCCACTTTAGTTTGTAAAAGTAAGTTGTCATATATTGTCATTGGCTCTTATGCTTATCATACTAATGATGCCACTTTAGTTTGTAAAAGTAAGTTGTCATATATTGTCATTGGCTCTTATGCTTATCATACTAATGATGCCACTTTAGTTTGTAAAAGTAAGTTGGCATATATTGTCATTGGCTCTTATGCTTATCATACTAATGATGCCACTGTAGTTTGTAAAAGTAAGTTGGCATATATTGTCATTGGCTCTTATGCTTATCATACTAATGATGCCACTTTAGTTTGTAAAAGTAAGTTTTCATATATTGTCATTGGCTCTTATGCTTATCATACTAATGATGCCACTTTAGTTTGTAAAAGTAAGTTTTCATATATTGTCATTGGCTCTTATGCTTATCATACTAATGATGCCACTTTAGTTTGTAAAAGTAAGTTGGCATATATTTTTCTAACCTGACTGTCACTGGCTCTTCTCATATTCATGATCTCCTTAACTTCTTTTCATCTTTCTACTGAGCTGTCTACATTAGCTATGTTGCCTTTTTGTTGCATTTCTCTTTGAATTGTCTGATTGACTTAGTTCTCCGAATCATGAACATATATTGCGCAGATGTCAGATGCCTCTGCATCCAGTCTGCCATCACATTATATTAAAATGCCATTTGGTTATAAGTTTCAGAAATGCGCCTCCCTCAGCCTTCTTGACTTGTACAATTTTCTTCCTTTTATAAGTGTATCATATTTCTTTTATTATACAAATAATGAATGGTTATGAGTTCAATAGTCCGAATATTTTCATGAGTTAACAGATTAACATTCTATTCAAATAGAATTAACTTTAATCTTTCAACAAATAAAAAACATTCATTATGCATTACTCCTTATATGGTGTAATATTGAAGCCCTAAAAAAATTGCGCTTCAAAATGATTAAGAAGTGACTAAAAAAAGTAAAAATCTTTGAGTGACCGGTTTTACCTTACTCGTTTTCCCCATAGACTGTAGTGTTATGAAAACCGTTAGGCAAACGCAAATTTGATTTTGATTTCCAATCATAAATATCTTGATAATCAGACAAGCGATCGGCTTGCAAATGCCATGGGTTCCTGACTGACCTAAAGGTTTATAATTATGATTGCAGCATGAGCTAAATCCAGGATTTGTTTCAGAATCTGAGACAAAGTTACCGGATCCCTTTAACAATCGTTCTCTTTTCCTGCAGGACCTATAAAGCTGATGGGTGGCAAGAGTCCTAGTGAAGGCTACGTCGCTGTGTATGACGGTTTGAAGTGGGGACCCATTTGTGCCAAGAACTGGGGTATCGAAGATGCAAGAGTGGTTTGCAAGTAAGTGATGTTGAACTATTGCTGGCATGATAACAAGCAATTGGTGTATGAAATGTTACTTATTATATTCCTTCTACTGTACAAACCCTCTAACATGCAAAAAATCATGAACAAATTCTCAGTTAACCAAGATATTTATGGGTTTTCTTTGAAGGCGTCACTGCGCGACAGTTTCTAACAGGACATTCTCCCAATCATTTTTTAGTTATCTCAACCTTTTTTCGGTTTTTTCCATTAAAATAAGACTGAAAACAGGCTTTTAAAAATCTACTAACACTTAAAATGTCTGGAATGGTATATAGAACTAATTCAGTGCTTTGTGACAATTAACAATTACCTAAATTTTAATTAGATTATAATTATATAGTTGGGAGAATTAAGGAATCGATCAGATCAGTTTTTCCTAATTTTTATCATGAATAAACTTTCAGATTTTTGTTAATTGTAAATCTAGCATTGAAGTCACCATTCTATCTCATTTGAACAATGTTACCAAGCCCCTTTAATAGAAGGATGCCAGTTTTCAGGGTTATTCCCACTTTCAACCCTGAAACCTCTCCATGTCAGGATTATTAAGGCTTTATATTGTCCAGTACATAGAGGGCTCTGACTAACATGTTAGGCCCCTTTTTATAGTGTGACCCGACAAATCCAACGACACCCTTATAAAACTTGTTCGCACACTTTGGGGCATAGAAGGATAAATGTGTCTCTTTGTCGTCAATGTTGTTGTTTTTGTTTTTTGCTCTGGTGATCCTCTCCTTACAAGCCCTTGAGGCTGTTCTTGGGACACCCTTTTCTTTCATTTCTTTGTATTTCTTTGTATTACTAGCTCATATGTATGTATTACTCTGTTTTCTTGATGTAAACATGAAACTATGCATGACATACCGTTAACTTTAAAGGTAAAGACCAGTATTGGAAACGCCCCAATTTCAAAAAATGAAATAGAAGCTCTCATTACCAATTATGTGAAAGAATATGTTTTGACTAATACATGATGATAAAAAATTTGCCGGGAAACCACCTACTAATTCATATATTTGGTAAATTTGTTTCTCTCATGGTCTGTGAGAGATATGGGGTACTCCCATATACATCTTTCTGTGTATAGTGCTTGTAACTTTACGAAGAAATTTCTTATCATTTTGATGATTCCAGAACCTTGCAGATGCTAGATGCTAGATGATCAACCTTTTCTGATCGATTCCACAACGTTTCTTTCACAATGCAATTGGTCTTTACCTTTAAAAGAAAAATAATTGTACATATTGGAAGAAATAAATGAGAGCTACACGTATATGCTCTCTCATTCAATCAAATGTTTGCAGACAAGTTGGAGATCTAGCAGCAGTTGAAGCAACGACTGGTATGAGGTTTGGCCAGGTTACAGCCAGCTACCTCATGTCGAATGTAGGCTGCGCAGGGACTGAAGGCACGTTAGACGAGTGTCCATCGACCAACAACGGAGATAACGACTGCTTCAGGTTTGCTCCAACAGAGACTGAACCGATGCGACTCAATGATACCAACGATTTGGCTGGAGTTCGATGTGCTCGTGAGTCTCATTTGATACTGCAAAAACCCTGTTATTGTGGGGACTTGAATGTTATACTGTATGATTGTTTTTTTTCATTTTTAAATGTAATATTAAAAAAATATGTTTTATTTATTCATTTCTTTGTTTATTTGTTCATTGATTGTAATTATTTATTTACTTAAGCTACGGTCACAATGGTTGGTAGGAACGATGTGTTCGTATAAATCTCCCTGATTTTCCATTTTCTTCCCGAATATCCATTGTCTGAAAATCATTTGTGCGGCGTTTGTAGCAGTTCGTAATGGCATTTGTGACCAAGGCTTTACTTAGTAACTTAACAGTATTTATTTACTTATTTATTTAATTTCTTTAAAATTTATTTACTTAGTTACTGATTTAGTTACATACTTATTCACTCACTCAATTAATACTTACTTATTTATTACCTTTTTTTGGGGGGGGGGGGGGAAGGGGTTTCACTTTGAGCAATTAGATGGCCATAAATGCCAAAACAAATGATAACTAATAGAACTGACCGAACTGCTGGTAGAACCAGGTTCAGTAGGGAAGTAGAAGTACTGGGAGCGTTGATACAATATTGGCTCTGGCCTGCTTTCTGTGCAAGATGTAGGGATAGGCTTTTGGTTATAGTTTTTGATTGGCTTATAGGAGAAGTTTGGGGTTAGCATTGTCCTTGTGGGCATAAGGAAAGATATTTGGAAATGTTTTAAATTTTCTTTCGATGTTTTGACCAAATATTTGAGCAATAGGTCTGTTAACCTCCTCTTTGAGAGTTTCACTTTCTCTAATAATCATCACTTGAGCACAAATCTCTGAAGGCCTGATAATCACCTGATTTAAATTGGTTTCCCCATTTTTTTCTTCCCCGATTTGTTTTTTCTTCCCAATTTGACCTCTATTTTCCCCTTATTTTCCTAATTTTTCCCAATTTTCCCCCAATTTTCTTACTCAAAAGGGGGGAATGTTGTTAGGTGCCATTTTTCCCTCCTGAATCCTTTTTATATTTTTTTACACATGGGGGGGGGGGGGGGGGGTAGATGGTTGATGGAAAAACAAATTATTTTATCTTTTCTTTAGTTCTCACTATCACCCCTGTCTCTGTTTCAATGCTTCTCTTGCAGCTGCTGTGCGTCTTGTTAGCAATGACTATTCATTCTTACAAGGCAAAGTAGAAGTCTTCAAGAATGGCCAATGGGGTGGAGTCTGCGCTGACCAGTGGGGTCCCGAAGATGCACGCGTCGTCTGCCGTCAACTCGGCGAGTATCCCCTCTCCAATGACTCATGCTGCGACCCGTCAACGGACTCTGTTCAGGACCCATTGTTGTCCAATTTGATGTGCACTGGTAACGAGGAGCGACTTCAAGACTGCCCTGTGGCTCCTGGCTCGCAGCCTCCTACCCGCTGTAATGCAGCTACAGCTAGGTGCCAAGGTGAGAAGCACTCCAGCAAAGCATAGAGAGTCAATGCTAATGTGTATTGACCTCTAGCGCTCTACTACATGTACGTGCTAATAGGCAGCAATTGCACACATGAATATTCAATACACACATTACACACAAATGCACACAATAGATACCATGTGGCTGATCGGCAAGTCTGACAGTAGGCTCACGATTTGAATTTTAAAATTATTGTTTCTGACATTGGTAAGTTGAACAAATTGTATTTTACTACTATTTAGGTGTCATCAATTGTCACTAAAGTACCGATTTTGAGTGAAATCAGTTGAGTTTTGTACAGTGGTGTTCGAAATTTGAGAATCAATAGAACAGGTTTTAATACACAGCCAGGATAGTAATGCAGTTATGTGTGGGTGAGAAGTGGGTCACTCAATATGTAGCATTCCTGACAGAATAGCATTAACACAAATTTATGGAAAAATGTGTTGGCTCACTGCAAAAAGATACTCTAACTTCATGTACTATTATTGGCTGAAATGTTCTTTGAATGGTGTACTGATGAAAAGTTGTTTCTAATAATAATAATAATAATAATAATAGCCTAATAGTCCACTCCAAATTTTATTAAACCGAAATTGAAATTCTTTTTGCCCAATTGATCGTGAGCCCGGCAGCCACTGAGCAGTGCCAGAACGACGTTGCTCTATCCCTTATTGTTGAAAGCCAAACAAGGAAGCAACACCTCCCATCTTTTAACGTCTTTTGGTATGACGCGGCCAGGGTTCGAATCCACGACCTCCCGGTTGTGAGGCGGACGCTCTACTGACTGAGCCAACACTATGTTGTGTAATGAAGAAATGGGGGGGGGGGATTGTGAAACCAGTTATAACATATTATTATCCGCATCATAACCCCTCATAACATACAATTTAAAGAATTCCAGCCTGAAAATGAGTTGCTTAGATATAATCAACAACTGAATTTATTACAATCCTTGTAAATTTGAAGCTTTTTATGCCTCCGCCACCGAAGGTGGTGCCGGAGGCATCATGTTTTCGGGTTGTCCGTCCGTACGGTACTACTCACGACAGTATGCTTGTGAGATTTTTGTCTTGTGTGTCTGAAAAAAAGGGGTATCTTGTGTGTCTTTTCATTTTTTCCTTCTAAAGACTACTTGTGTGTCTTAATTCCCAACTTCTTGTGTGTTTGTCTAAAATGAAATGAAAATGCATCTTGTGTGTTTTTTAATACAATATGTGTTGAGACTGGTTTTTAAAATTAAAATTAAGGCTTGTATGCCCAAAAGACATTATTGTCTACCTCTATCCAAGTCAGGAAAATTAAGGCTTGTGTCCCGCAAAAACACATCATTTACCCGCCTAAGTCGTAAAAATTGAGGCTTGTGTGGCAGAAAAGACGATCAGCTACCCTGTCCAAGACAAGAAAATTAAGGCTTGTGTGCCTAAAAAACTTGATGTCCAAAAAGTATACAACTATTTATTTGTGACTTTTGAATGACCAAAAAATTGATTTATCTTTTTTCCTCATTGAATAGAAACATCACACACATATAATACAGGTAATGCAATAATATTCCAATGTTGTGGAGGAACCAATGAAAAGCCGAGGAGCTTGTCATGGCAGAAGGACATTATTATCTACCCCTGTCCAAGTCAAGAAAATTAAGGCTTCTGTGGCATAAAAAAAAACATTACATGTATTATATATCTCTGTCCAAGTCAAGAAAATTAAGGCTTCTGTGGCATAAAAAACATTACATGTATTATATACCTCTGTCCAAGTAATGAAAATTAAGGCTTGTGTGGCAGAAAGACATTATTATCTACCCCAGTCCAAGTCAAGAAAATTAAGGCTTGTGTGGCAGAAAGACATTATTATCTACCCCTGTCCAAGTCAAGAAAATTAAGGCTTCTGTGGCATAAAAAAATCATTACATGTATTATATACCTCTGTCCAAGTCATGGATATTAAGGCTTGTGTGGCAGTAAGACATTATTTTCTACCTCTGTCCAAGTCAAGAAAATTAAGGCTTGTGTGGCAGAGAGACATTACATGTATTATATACCCCTGTCCAAGTCAAGAAAATTAAGGCTTGTGTGGCAGAAAGACATTACATGTATTATATACCCCTGTCCAAGTCAAGAAAATTAAGGCTTGTGTGGCAGTAAGACATTATTGTCTACCCCTGTCCAAGTCAAGAAAATTAAGGCTTGTGTGGCAGAAAAACATTACATGTATTATATACCTCTGTCCAAGTCATGAAAATTAAGGCTTGTGTGGCAGTAAGACATTATTGTCTACCCCTGTCCAAGTCAAGAAAATTAGGGCTTGTGTGGCAGAAAGACATTACATGTATTATATACCTCTGTCCAAGTCATGGATATTAAGGCTTGTGTGGCAGAAAGACATTACATGTAATATATACCCCTGTCCAAGTCAAGAAAATTAAGGCTTGTGTGGCAGAAAGACATTATTATCTACCCCTGTCCAAGTCAAGAAAATTAAGGCTTCTGTGGCATAAAAAAATCATTACATGTATTATATACCTCTGTCCAAGTCATGGATATTAAGGCTTGTGTGGCAGAAAGACATTACATGTATTATATACCACTGTCCAAGTCAAGAAAATTAAGGCTTGTGTGGCAGAAAGACATTACATGTATTATATACCCTTGTCCAAGTCAAGAAAATTAAGGCTTGTGTGGCAGTATATAAGACATTATTGTCTACCCCTGTCCTAGTCAAGAAAATTAAGGCTTGTGTGGCAGAAAGACATTACATGTATTATATACCCCTGTCCAAGTCAAGAAAATTAAGGCTTGTGTGGCAGAAAGACATTATTATCTACCCCTGTCCAAGTCAAGAAAATTAAGGCTTCTGTGGCATAAAAAATCATTACATGTATTATATACCTCTGTCCAAGTCATGGATATTAAGGCTTGTGTGGCAGTAAGACATTATTGTCTACCTCTGTCCAAATCAAGAAAATTAAGGCTTGTGTGGCAGAAAGACATTACATGTATTATATACCCCTGTCCAAGTCAAGAAAATTAAGGCTTGTGTGGCATAAAAAACATTACATGTATTATTTACCTCTGTCCAAGTCATGAAAATTAAGGCTTGTGTGGCAGAAAGACATTACATGTATTATATACCCCTGTCCAAGTCAAGAAAATTAAGGCTTGTGTGGCAGTAAGACATTATTGTCTACCCCTGTCCAAGTCAAGAAAATTAAGGCTTGTGTGGCAGAAAAACATTACATGTATTATATACCTCTGTCCAAGTCATGAAAATTAAGGCTTGTGTGGCAGTAAGACATTATTGTCTACCCCTGTCCAAGTCAAGAAAATTAGGGCTTGTGTGGCAGAAAGACATTACATGTATTATATACCTCTGTCCAAGTCATGGATATTAAGGCTTGTGTGGCAGTAAGACAATATTATCTACCCCTGTCCAAGTCAAGAAAACGAGGGCTTGTGTAGCAGAAAGACATTACATGTATTATATACCTCTGTCCAAGTCAAGAAAATTAAAGGTACTATGTCCCTTTTGCAGCTAACCTCAAATTCTGTAGAACTTTGCAGGAATTATGAATATGTCATGTATGTCCTTTCTGTGAAATTTAAACGTTAGCAGTGTTCTCATATTCAAATTATGCAAGGAAACCCGTTTAGTTGCTAGACTTCACTGTCAGACACTATTGAGTGACTGACTGGCTTTTTTTCTTCTTTAGTAATAACATACATGAAAAGAGTTGTAAAGGGTACATGAGGATTTGTCTACATCAATAACTCACTTCTTGTGATGGCCAAGATTAAACTGATTCAATCTTTGCGCAGCATAAAACGTATGACCATTCGGTACAATTGTCTGAAAATCAAGACTATTACTTTTGGGCTCTATAGCCCTAAAGTCGATCTGACAACTAATAGTCATTATTTTCCCACTTGAAGACATTTCAAGCCCCACCTTTTTTAGAGAAGTTCTAAATTAGTATTATCTTTCAAATGCAGTTGGAATTTAACTTTTTCATTTTTTTGGCCTGCAAATGGGACATAGTACCTTTAAGGCTTGTGTGGCAGTAAGACATTACATGTATTATATACCTCTGTCCAAGTCAAGAAAATTAGGGCTTGTGTGGCAGAAAGACATTACATGTATTATATACCTCTGTCCAAGTCAGGAATCCGCCTGCGTGTACCAATTACCCGTAGAGCCAGATACAGAAATTCTTTTATTCCAAATTCTACGCACATCTATAATGCAAAAGTAACACGAAATTCTCAGCTTTAAGCTGAATAATAGCGATTATGATTATTTGTTAACTTTTTTTCTACCCACCCAGTAAATTGTAGGGATTGGGTTGGAAAGTTTTCCGCCTTATCACCTTTGTGGGTCAAAACATCCGTTTGTTTAGCTCTGCTGCTGATTTTTGTTGTATATTTATGTCATGCATTATAATCTGATTGGAAATTATGCCATCTCTCCTTCTCTGTCTCTCCCATTTTCCTTTGGACCCCTACCAACTTTCCCTATATTTCTCTCTTCTATCAGTCCTTCGAGCTTGAGCTCTCGTTTCCTTTATCTTTCTGCTCGTATTTCGATTGTGATGCTGCTCATATTCACATCTATATTCATACCTGAATTTATTCATGATGTGATTCAGAATTGTATATAAAATTCTTGCTATGTATAAGTCATATAACTATCTTGTCATGTTTTGTGCTGAAAGCCGGAGAACCGTACCTGCTCACATACTTTTTTTTCTTTCTATAGAGTCTTGACGCCCTTCTGGCTTTCAGCACACGACACCATGTTTTTGTCTTATGTTTTATGTATTACATGTTATACCAATGGAAAACAAATTTCTGTATTATATTATGGACAATAAAATCTTGAATCTTGAATGAAAATTAAGGCTTGTGTGGCAGTAAGACATTATTGTCTACCCCTGTCCAAGTCAAGAAAATTAGGGCTTGTGTGGCAGAAAGACATTACATGTATTATAT